TGACCTTATGCAGTTGCGAGTGCCATAAAACTTCTACTAAATATAATAAAAATATAATAGAGGAAACCAAAAAATTTCTCCTACAATCAATTACACTGTCTAGTCTTTATTTGAACATTACCCGCAAGACCAACATCATGTCAAAGAACCTTGAGTATCGATATCGTTCAGTTCTTAGTATACACATCTTGGAACTCTACTATAAGTACCCCCCCTCTACACACACACACACACATAACACACACAGAGTTAAAAACTCAGTAACACTAATCTCCTTCCACGGCACAAGAAAGAAGACGCTCCACTCTCACAAAGAAGAGCACACACAGAAAGAACGAGGTATCACCCATCAATAAAACCTTCGACAGACAACCAACAGTAGCAACAATGTCTGAAGGCACAGGGGAGAAAAATACCGAGTGGACACAAACAGACCCCCATGCAAAATGAACAATGTAAAGTTATATTTGCTGGCACAGAAAAGTGGGCTCATTTTGTGTGTTTGTTTGAGTAAAGAGAAGCACATCGACACAATAATGGTCATTTAGTAGTGCTGGGGAAAAAGTAAGACAGACAGACAGAGACAACAGACCTACCAGTGGGTTGTTTATTATTATAGTAGAGGGTTTTACGGCGCTTGCAACTGCATAAGGTCATATGAGCGCCAAGGGGTGGGTGTCAACAGAGAAGTCTTTACAGTCTTACTCTGCTCACCTCTCTAGCTTCAACAGCACAATGTCTGCTTCAACTATCAAGGCACCCCGGAAATAGCAGGTCACAAGTGTGACAAACAATACATACAAAAGAAGTAGAGGAAAATGACAATAGCAAGGATTAGGAAAGAAAAAGCAGCAGTTCCCTGTTGCAGATCAGGCACAGTTATGAGCATGACATGAATCAGCCCATTTACAATTCTACTGTGCTTGAACGAGAAATGTCCCCCCTTTGGGAATGGCCTAAAGACACTACAGTCAGTGGCACTGCCCCGGGGGCAGTGGGTTGTTTGTTTGAGTAAATAGAAGCACATCGACACAATAATGGTCTTTTAGTGAGGGGAAAAAGTAATACAGACAGACAGACAGACAGACAGACAGACAGACAGACAGACAGAAACAACAGTGGAAAAGTAAAGGACCTACCAGTGGCCCCCCCTCCAACCACCCACAAAGAAGGCTAGTTGAATTTCAAAAGATTTTTTTAAAGGCAAAAAACACTGACCCAGGAAGGAACACCACAGCTAGAAAAAACGTACAACGTTCAAAACACGGTTAAGAAAATGACAAGTGAACCTTTAAGTGAACATACACAGATGGCAAAAACAACTGGCTTGACGATCCAAATATTTTACTTTCAACAAGAGTAAGTCTGCTCACTGAACTTTCCATAAATATAATCTTTCGTTTATATTCACCTATAGTTCAGACTGTTAAGGGCATGCATCAAAATAACATTGAGTGTGTATCTAGCTTACGATTATTAATGTTTATAATATTGCTGCTCATTCATATTATGCATGTGATTGTAAGCCTACATGCTACATGTGTGTGCATGAGTGTGTGTGTGTGTGTGCGTGTGTGTGTACACGTGGTGAAACACCAAACCAATGTGCCAGGATCTGGACAACAAAGATGTATCTTATCTTATCTTATTACAGAGCTTGCTGTTGAATGAGGATATGAGATACTGTACAATTGCTATTTATTATCATCATTTCAAGAAATCGCCTCCAAAATGTCTTGGTCACTTAAAAAAAAAAAAGATTTCATACTTTCTGTTTTTATTCTACTTTCATTAATTTCCATCTAGGCTAACATTGTCTTCCCCATTTAAGGATTTATTCCTTATCAACCTCAAAGTCTAGCACCCACACAGCAAAACCAGTGGAACACGCAAATCTTTTCGCTGTGTATGAATTTATATGTATGTGTGCGTGTTTTAAATACAATGATTATAAATGTATAAAAAAAAGATTCCACACCTGAATACCGGTTTGCTAAATCTAAAAATGACAAAAACTAAATCTAAAAATGACAAAAAACGTCATTAAATCGAAACTAGCAAACCTATTTTGACAGTTCTTCATCTAATAAATGAAAATCAGGAATAAGAGACCTGTTTTCAGTTTGCTATGTGTCTATTTCGTTAGGTGTGTTTTCGCTAGGTGCCTGAGACACTACACAATTTCATTCTGCAGCGACTTGGAGGCACAGAACACCCCTGGCCATAGACACAAAGCAACCAATACATGACACCCAAAGGATTTACAAAATGTGTTGAATTCCATCTAGCTGACCGACCAAAGACTTGAGAAACGTGCAAAAGAGACACCATAATGGACGAGTTTCACAGCAGCAAAAGCTCCCTCTTCTTTTGTCCTTCCATATCTGCATGAAATCATCAAAAATCAAATCCTTTCTGCTAGCTTTGAGCTACAAACAATACAGGGCTAATCCGTACACAGGTGAGGAAGCATAATATAGAAGCAAAAAAGCGACCTCATATGAGAAACATTCCAAAATCAAAGGAAAAAAACAACCTGGAAGTCATTTTTTTTTTTCACACTGAAATGACAACATTTCTGAAATTACTACAACACTCTTGGTCAATTTTAGGGGGGGGGGGGGTATTTTGGAGTATGCATAAAAATAAACATAATTCTATACATATTCAAAGCTTTCTTCTTCTTCTATTTTTAAAAATTAACCGACAGCAACAATGCAGGTGGCCAAGCCCATCATTATCCCAGGCACAGGAAGGGAGAGAAGCAGGGAAATGTCAAACACAGCCCAAATTGTAACCTGCAAGGAACTGTAATTTTGTCTGAGATTCTCATTGTGTAGTTGCTCCTCCTGCAGTTGTGCCTGGACAGGAAAAGTAAGAATCTTAGGCGTGCAACTAGATCTGTGGGCTGACTAAAGCATTGGCGTGACATAATGTAATCAAGATGAACAAAAAAAATCAAATAAAGAAGGGAATGCAGGGGGTGGGGGTCGGGCCAAAACAAAAACTGTTAACCCAGTACTTTCGTTCCAGGCATTTGGTCGGACAGACAATTTCAAATGCATCCCTCAAATTTTTGTCTTCGCGCTCTTATGTTTAAAAATTTTATCTTTTTCTAAATGTATGTATTTTAACACCTCCATCGACACAATTTCGATCATTTAGGAGGCGCTCTCCACCCTCCCTGATTAGGCCAAACCAGGCTGAGAGGGATGCAACATCCCTGCAAAAAGACCAATATATTCGGTAAAAATTTCTCCCCACTTGGGAACCGAACGTAGTTTTTTTTCGGCATGCCACAGCAAAACGCCCAAACGCTACACCACAGAAGCCAGCGCTTTCATACTTGTGTCAGATCAGACGAGAAACTGAGACCGAAATGGTGACGAATGCCAAGGCTACAACATTCTCTATTTACCGATACTCTAAATTACTGCAACTGTAACGTTCTGGTCACTGGCCAAATTTGTCACACTGCGCCTAAAACCCAGTGCCCATTAGGTGGGTCGACTAACAGATCGCCCGATTCGCGGTCTTGAAAACAAACGCAACTGTTGTATTGGCTGCGAGCCAGGCGATCGGTTTGTGCCACGATGGTCACTTTGCCCCCTCAATCTGGCCAGCCCACCTCACAAACCGATCATGCCAATGGGCACCCACTACTAAGAACGACCGGGTTTTTTTAACTCCATGAGGCATAGGTTTGAGAAAATGGGACTCATAGATCGACACTTGTACAGCTAAAATGTTATTACATTTTTTGTTAAGCATCGAACTGAAAAAGTTCGGGTTGGATTGTCTTGAGCCTTTGACACAGTGTGCAGGGCATCTGCGTCAAGCAATGTGTAGCGTGTAGCTCAGTTCTCGCAACAAAAGTGGAGTTACATCCCTGTCGTTCTAAGACATAAAATGTAGACAATTTCAGCACAAATATTTTGTCTATTAAGGCAGCACTGTGCCCTCTACTGCACGGCAGCAGCCGAAACATTATGTCCTCTTTCTAATCCAGCAAGTGGGGAGGGAAGGGGGAGGGGAAGGAGGAGGGAGAAAATGTAAAATTTACTTAACCATAACCCTCATCCTAAAGACAGTAGAGGTCTGTTCCTTATTCTGGGAATTCCTTCACCACGACATTCAATGTTATGTTTAGTCACACAAACTCAGTATGTCTTTATGAAAGAACAGTAGTTGTTAAACAAAAATATTAGCAATCAACAGAAAAAATAATAAAATACCGGTACTTAAACCCCATACCACAGAAAACATTAGCGCACAAAACCTTGCTCCACACCAGTCTCCGACAGATGTCTCACACAAAATAAGAGAAAAATGGGTAACGAAAACCATCTCAAAGTAAAACGCAAGGCTAAAACTTGTTCTATTTTAAAAGAAGAACTTACATCACGTTAACAATTAATGGTTGAAACACTCAGAACCTCTTTGACATTTGACACACATCTTCAATTTCAGACGGTGGGATGGTCACATAATAAAACAATTATAGGTCACAGACAGTGGAACGGTGAATAACTGGGTGTGGATGATTAAAAAGGCTCCGAAATATTTATCCTGAATCTAATCTCTACATGTAAAATTTCCAGCTGCCTCTTGGGTGAAAGGGAATTGCAAACTAGAAAAAGTAACAATGTGTCAGTCTACCATCTACAAAACTAATCGTATCGTAACTTTGTGCTGACTATGGCTAACATAACACGTGCACAACCTTATTCTAATCAGATGGTGTCACTTTGTAGGATGGGGCAAGGGTTAAAAAAAAAAAATGAAAAAAAAATGAAGGCACCTGCTCAGAATTCAACCAGTACAGTGTGAGAGAAAGAGAGGGATGAAGTCAGAGCCCAAGAAAAGAAAACCTGCTAGGAGGAAAGTTTTAACCTGCGCAATCCTCAAAGTTTGCTCCACGGCTTGTTCTCTCTGCTGCTCCTGTTGCTGCTGGACCTGATGAAGGTGGGAGACTCGGTGAGTTACCAGGAGCGAACCGCCGCTGGGCTGTACAGGCATGCTGGGACATCTTCTTTTAGTTTTTAGTTTTAGTAGAGGTTTTACGGCGCTCGCAACTACATAAGGTCATATGAGCGCCAGAAGATTAGAGGTGTTACAAGAGAGGAACAAACACAAAAAAGAAGGAGCACAGATAATGGCGATAGATGTTTCAGGGGAAAGAAGGAGCAAACCGCACCGGAGCATAAAAAAAAAAAAGAAATAATTTGACAATTGGGAATTCCCCTTGGCATGGGATAAGAAGGACCTTGGGTGAAAAAGAACAACACAAAAACAAAAACAAGATCAGCTTGTTATAACGCGGCAAATCAAACCACATACACTTTGTTTAGCTTAGTTCTAGTATGAGTTTTACAGCACTTGCAACCTCAACAGGTTCTATAAGTACCGAAGATGAGAGGTGTTACTATCGCACAACAAACAAAGAACAGAAGACAGAGAGATATGGACAATCCACGTCTGATGGGAAAGAAGGAGCAAACCACAACAGAACACCCCACCAGCCACCCACTATGTCGGTAAATGTTACAGACTCTGGTGGTTGCAAACAAACTGGGAACAAAACCAAACACAAAGCGTGTAGGAGTGCATCTGTGAAAACACTGGGACTAACACGTCGTGCTGGACGAAGCAGGGTGACCGAAACTGGACAACGGGACAGGCAACACGTTACAACATGTCAGTAGTACTGGGAGGGCTGAGTTGGGGGAAGGGGTGGTGGTGGTGAGAAAGTGTGTGTGTGTGTGTGGGGGGGGGGTAAGTGGTTGTGGTTGAAGGAAGAGTGAGAAAAGGCATGTTTCAGAGTTCAGTGGGAAGGAAAAGATCTAGTGAGCCATACACAAGTCCAGCGCTAACAAAAGCTTTTCCAAGACAAAAGTCGTCCAAACATTTTAAGAGTTATCATTCAGACACGATTAGAAAACATAGGACAATTCACTGCTAGTCTTTCAAAATGATCGGCAAAGGAATGCTTAAAAGGCAAAAAAAGTAAAACAGGTGTGGTAAAGAATCCAATTATAAACCCATATGAAGAGACTGACTGTCTGACCAACCGATCGACTGATTGACTGACTCAGGTGACTGATTGACAATTAAGTTTTAATTAAACTCTTGAATGAATATATGACAACGGAAATTAGTAAGCTCGTCATACAACGCCACAGAAAAAAATAACCACGACGGTAGCAACGTCTCCCCTTTCCCTTATGGGATGAAAAAATTCACCGAAATTAGGTAACTCGAAACTGTCCAAGAACTGTTTGAGATGCCACAGAGGGGACTCCAAGTCAATCAGAGTGGGAACAAAGCCCTTAAAATCAAAAAACTAACCTTTTCACCGGTTGCATCATTTAAATTAACCAATCACCAATCTCATCATTCTTAATTCCCAAATTATAAGTTTTACGGAGTGAAAAATTGAATTTCGGTACAAGATTTTGTTTAAAACGCAAAAGAAAAAGCATTGCACACACAAAAAGAGAGGAAACTCCAAGCACAAGTGCAGATAAATCACCTCTTCAACATCTGCATCAGAGATATTGGACTTCTGCATGGACTAAACAGAATCAGAAAAAGAAGAAATATGTGAGGGAGGGGGGGAAGCCCCATGAACCATACACAAAGTTTTAGTTTAATTTTAGTAGAGGTTTTATGGCGCTCGTAAGGTCATATGAGCGCCAGAAGATTAGAGCTGTTACAAGAGAGTAACAAACATAAAAAAGACGAAGGGGAGATAAGGACGATAGATGTTTGATAGGAAAGAAGAAGCAAACCACACCAGAGCACCCGCCAACCACCCACATACACAAAGGGGCAAGACTCAAGACAAACTCTAAAGAATAATGTCCGCAGAACAAGAACAATAATCACAGCTTCCCAAACTTATTCATTATCATCAAGTGCCAGATCTGTGACAGACATCAGCGACCATGATTCTCCATTCATTCCTTTGCTCAGAGGCTCTCAAAAAAATTAATTATATTATCCTGATCTTTGCCTGTTACGTATCTGTTTAAACTTTCCAAGAAAGTTGCTCTGTCTACCTCTGCCTAGTTTGCCTTCAATTTCACCAGTGAGTGAGGGCTAATAGATGTTCAAGGCCCTTACCTATTAAATGCATTTTTTAAAAATTAGCTGAACATGGGAAAAAAAAAGAATTCCTGCGACACAACGCAATGTCAAAAATTGAAGTATTAAGTATGGCATACAAATTTAGATCATGCAGAGAGACTAATTCACAAACCATATGTGCATGAAAATAGAGTGGGGGGGGGGGGGGGGGGAGGGCCGGGGGGAAGCGGGCATTTTGACTTATAAAGAACAAATTGGACAGTGAATGGAGACATCCATGCAGTAACGAGGAGGACAAACGAGCCACACCCACGTGTTCAGGCGTCAGGAAATAACATGGAACAAAGCACACTAACTTCCACATTACAGGTTGACATAATTATCCTTAATTAAAAAAAAAAAAGGTTTTATACCGATAATTGGAAGTAAGTTAGGCACAAACCAGATTCTACAAATACATTGGTATCTCTGAGAACAGTACGGTATCCGGAAAAAAAAGAAAGAAAAAAAACCAAACAAAAAAGACGTGCTGGAATCAATTCTTCGAGGCTTGGCGAGATGTCTCATACACCTAAAAAAAATATTGAAAATCTACACTTTAAGAAATTTCCTGAAAAGGAGCAGTTTGACCAAGAACAAAAAAAAAAAAAAAAAGAAAGATATATGTATCTGAAAGAATATAGCAACAGGTGGTCACTGGGTACGTCCTTGAGAAAGACACGATAACCTTCGCTTTAAAAAAAGAAACCAAAGCACAGCACGGAGGCAACAAGCAATGGCATTTATAATTGTACTACATATATATATATATATATATATTATATATATATATATATATATATATATCATCTGCATGTTTCAGTCTGTACAATATATCTATGCACTCATGATTCTGTGTACCATATTAATACATCGCGTATAATATATTAAGTTAGGCCATTGTAAACTCAAATTCTCCCCCCCCCCCCCTCCCCTCGTCGATAGAGGTGGGCAAAATCTGGATAATCAACAAGGACAACCGGATAATTCTCAATGAAACATTATCCGAATTCAGACTCTTAAACTCTCTTTCCTGACCCGTTTGCCGAAGTGGGTACACCCATGTGTTGAAGTATTGTTAACCCGTTTGTCGAAGTGGTTCTAACCCATTCGCCAAAGCGGTTCATATCATATTATTTGCCGAAGAGGTGCACTAACATAGTATCTGGATTTTGCTAAAGCAACTTATTGCCCAGCCCTTCTTGCCGATCAATAAAAATGGATAATTAAACAAACAAAAAATCAATAAATGTTTTCCTCCTCACCTGCAGACTCTGTATCTGCTGCTGCAGGGCGGCGACCGACTGGGACAGCTCCTCGTTACGTTTGTCGCGGTTGACCAGCTGGTCTGAGAGAACAAAAACAACAGTAAAAAAGTTTTTGAAGTTTTCTGGGGGGGTTGTTTTTTTTTTAGTTCTTGCAGAAGTTTTTAGTTTTTAAAGTTTTAGTAGAGGTTTTACGGCACTCGCAACTGCGTATGGTCATACGAGCGCCAGAAGATTAGAGGTGTTACAAGAGAATAACAAACTTAAAAAGAAGAAGGGGAGATAAGGACAATACATGTCTCATAGGAACGAAGAAGCAAACCACACCAGAGCACCCGCCAACCACCCACGCACAAGTTTTACGGCACTTGCAACACAATTTGGTCAAATGAAGCGCCAAGATAAGAGATCTTGTTGCTGGTTGGTGGTGTGGAGCTCATCTGACTGAATAACAACAACAAAAAAAAAGTTTGTTTTTTTTTGGGGGGGGGGTTCATTTCTTGCACAAGTTTTATGGCACCTGCAACACGGTTTGATTAAATAAGTAAGTGTCAAAAATTAGAGATGTTTACTAGAGAGAAACATACCAAAAAAAAAAGAAAGAAAGGGGAAATAGAGACAATTGATTTTTGATAGGAATGAAGGAGCAAACCACATCAAAGTACCTGCCAACCACCTGCAAAACAAAACAAAGAAGTGAGTACTGTGACAGTTATGTCCATGCCAGCAAAAGTAGAATAAAACCCACATAAGATGAAATAATGTACTGGGACTTGATCAATACTACTTTTGTTGTCAAACAATATGACTGAAAAATATCAGTGTTCCTAACAATCAGTACAATCTCCCTCTCAGCACTGAAACGACCTATTTGTGTTTTAAGTGCCTTAACTCTTTAAACCCTGAGTTTTTTCTATTGTCACCTAAACCTGGTGCACTATGTCTCACTATAACCCCAAAAGTTTGCCTCCCACTTCTAAACAGCGGAAACAAAGGCTTTTAGTCATTACTTAAAAACTTGGTTCAGGAATGGTTTCGAAAAACAAGCGAAAACTAGCACTGAATGAAGTGAAACAGTTGTCACTAGTATCCGATGGGGTTTAAAGAGTTAAACCTCTAACAAAAACTGTGGGCTCTCAGGGCCTAGAGGTTAAGGTGTTGGCCTCTCATTCAAAAGGTCCCGGGTTCGAATCCGGGTAGCGACCGAAAAATTTTCTTCTCTAAATTTGTCTCCTTTCACCTCATTTCCTGCTCTCCAGCAATGTTCTGTCGTTTGCTTTTGTCTCCTCTTTCCGCCCCCACCTCCTTTGCCCCTTCCTCTGGGCTCCTGATTCTTTCTGCAGCCTTTCTACTGCTACTCCTTCGCTTCTTCTTACTGCTGTCTTTCAGCCACACCCCTACACCTAGCCTTCTCGGACAAGGGCGAAAAATCTCGGAGGGCCCGTGTGCAAGTTGCGCACGTTAAAGATCCCTTGGTGGTCTAAAATCGATAAGAGTAGGCTTCGGTCGCCACCCGAGCAAAATTCAAAATATTCTACCAACTGAAAATATTAGGTGTGACCCGCGCGCTCATATGACCTTATGCAGTTGCGAGCGCCGTAAAACACTTACCAAAACAAACAAACCTCTAACAAAAACTAAAACATGATTTCACATTCAAGGGGACAAACAGCTAAAAGTCCAAAATGCATATTCAAGCCCTTTAATTTCAGTTACTTCCCTTGCATTTCTGTAGCAAAGGAGGAGAAAATTTTGGTGAAAAGTCTTGCAGCTGCATACGTCATATGAGCGCATGAGAAGCAAAGGAGAGGTAACAAAAACATAAAATGAAAACATGAAAGAAAAATAGATGCACATAAAAATGAGAATGGCCATTTCGAGCTCTGAAAAAGCACTACATACAAGCTACAGAATTATTTTTTTAGTAGAGGGTTTTACGGCGCCCGCAACTGCATAAGGTCATATGAGCGCCAAGGGCTGGATGTCAATCGAGAAGTCTTTACAGGGAATCAGGCTTACTCTGCTCACCTTCAACAGCACAACATCTGCTTTGACTATCAAGGCACCCCGGAAATAGCAGGTCACAAGAGTAAGGTAAGGTAAGGAAAGGTAAAGTAAGGAAAGGTAAAGTAAGGAAAGGTAAAGTAAGGCATGGCAAGGCAAGGTAAGGTAAGGTAAGTCAGGGCAAGGTAAGATAAGGTAAGGTAAGGTAAGGTAAGGTAAGGTAAGGTATGGTAAGGTAAGGTAAGGTAAGGTAAGGTAAGGTAAGGTAAGGTAAGGTAAGGTAAGGTAAGGAAAGGTAAGGCAAGGTAAGTCAGGGTAAGGTAAGGTAAGGTAAGGTAAGGTAAGGTAAGGTAAGGTAAGGTAAGGTAAGGTAAGGTAAGGTAAGTCAGGGTAAGGTACGGTAAGGTAAGGTAAGGTAAGGTAAGGTAAGGTAAGGTAAGGTAAGGTAAAGTAAGGTAAGGTAAGGTAAGGTAAGGCAAGGCAAGTCAGGGCAAGGTAAGGTAAGGTAAGGTAAGGTAAGGTAAGGTAAGGTAAGGTAAGGTAAGGTAAGGCAAGGTAAGGCAAGGTAAGGTAAGTCAGGGCAAGGTAAGGTAAGGTAAGGTAAGGTAAATCAGGGCAAAGTAAGGTAAAGTAAGGTAAGGTAAGGCAAGGCAAGTTACTGTAAAGTAAGGTACGGTAAGGTAAGGTAAGGTAAGGTAAGGTAAGGTAAGGTAAGGCAAGGCAAGGCAAGGCAAGGCAAGGCAAGGCAAGGCAAGGCAAGGTAAGGTGAGGTAAAGTAAAGTCAAAATGAAGAACCCAACCATTACACAAAAGACATCTGCTCAACTAAAGAACAACCCCCCCCCCTCAAAAAAAAAAACGTAACCCAAAACACACACACCCACTTACTAAACAATTATAACACTAACGCGTGCTGATAATGAGAAAAAGTCAAAAAAGAGGAAAATATTCCGACCTCGTTGCAACCCCGAAATTTCAACACAGAGCTCTAATACAAACTACAATAATATAACACATATCTTTACTTCTGTAGTAATATTTCGGAAACAAAACAAAAAAAGCGGAAATCCGTGGATCCGCGGAAAATTATCAGCACTGACTCACCTTTCAAATCGGAGATCTCTATCTCCTTCTGCTGCTTGAACTGCTGGTACTCTGAGGCGTGCTGGGTCTCCGCTTGCATGTGCTCCGATCGCAAGTTGTCCATGTCGTTCTTCAGCTTCATCAGGTCCGCTTCCGTTTCTTTGAACTGGCTCTGGAAGCAAGAACATTTCCGCAGTGCATTTTCGTCTTTTGGGGCACGGATACAGTTTCTGAATCGCGGTCAACGAACGGTGAGTAACCGTGGCAGCAGCCACATTACAACAAAAACAAATTAAGAGTATTACTAACAATATCAGTAGAAAATAATAAGTAATCAAGTAAATGTCTAGGATCTGGATTCACCGAAAGTCATCAAGCACTGGTTTAGACTAAGGTCTATACTACCCGCGTCTGTGACCTGTGGTACAGCAGGACTCCCAAGTTCATTTCCTGAGTGGGGCGAAGGTTTTTGCCAAGTATCTCGGTCTTTCTGAAGAGATGTTGCCTCCCTCTCAGCCTGGGTAGGCCCTGACAGGCAGGGTCAGAAGCCCACCCCCTAATTGTTCTAAATTGTCTCAAGGGGGGGGGGGGTATAAAATCACAGGCTACTTTTTTTTAAAGTCTAGACTTTCCGGAACTAACAAATAACTGGCTGAGGGTCCAGGGCCGAATGAAGTAATTGGTCACGTTCTTGATTCCTACAGATCCTGGCTCACAAGAATCGAGGATCTGGTAAATTTTTCTAGTTTAGTTTCAGTAAGTGTTTTACAGCACTTGTAACACAATAAGGTCACATAAGTGCCAAAGATTAGATTTTTTAGTTTTAGTAAAAGTGTCACGGCACTTGCAAAACAATAAGGTCATATAAGTTACAAGAGAGTAACAAACAGAAAAAAGAAGGAGGGGAGATAAAGACGATAGATGTTTGATAGGAAAGAAGGAGCAAACCAGATCAGAGCACACGCCAACCACCCAGGGTAAATTTTTTAAAAACTAAAAAAACAACAAAAAAAACCAAACCCGGAACCACCAACCACTAGAGTCCACTGTCTCACACAGGTGGTCACAAAAAAAGAGCATTGAGAGGGGGAGGGGGAGGGGGAGGGGGAGGAGGAGGGGGAGGGGGAGGGGAAGGAGGAGGGCTTACCTGGAGCATTGAATGTTGCTGGTTGATAGACTTGATCCTATTGTCATATTCATGCTGAAAAAGAGAAAAATCATATTCTCTATTTAGGTCAGAAGCAGCAAAACCACATTAATGACAAAAGTATGTTTTATACTTTTCCTGTCTGCTCGCTTTTGGTTACTCCTGAGAAGCGGGGGAGGGGGGGGGGAAGAGAGAGAGAGAGAGAGAGAGAGAGAGAGAGAGAGAGAGAGAGAGAGAGAGAGAGAGAGAGAGAAAGAGAGAGAGAGAGAGGGGGGGAGCGGGAGGGAAATAGCATGAGGGAGAGGGAAGGGTAGAGAGAAAAGGGAGAGACAGAAAGAGAGAAAGAGACAGACAGACAGACACAAACAAACACACACACAAACATACACACGCACAAACACACATACAGACACACACACACACAGACAGAGCTCTCGACAGAAGTCCAACTAGATCTCAGCCATAACAACATCAAGAACCTTAGTTCACACCACTCACAGGAAAAAAGTTCTGCTGCACACTCCCTCTCAACAGGACAAAAATCCGACAGCCTGTAAGTAAGCAGGTGCTCTGTTCCTCCTCCCCCCCCCCACACACACACACACACACACCTGAACCCCGCGACCCACAGGTGCATGCACTGAGAGCAGCAGCAACTGCTCAGGCTTAGAAAAATAGTGAGCCCCCATCTCGGTGTTAGTGGCGGAGTCGACTGCCAGCGTGTGAGGTCCGAGTGTAAAGAAACAGGACTGTGATACTGCCCTCCACCCGCCCGCGGGAGACACACAAATACAGTCAAATAAGCTCTGGGCAAATGCTGTAGATTTGCACTCAGAGAGAGCCAGGCCACACTCAAATCCTCTTTGGCTGTCTGTTTTCATAATTTATGGCAGTATTTGCGGACGTGAAGATGGGAAAAAGCCAAGTGTAGAATAAAAAGCAATAGTACGTTGTTCTAGTGGGCAACTTTTCAGGGTTCATTTCCTGAGTGGGGCGAAGTTTTTGGCCAAGTATCTCCGTCTTTCTGCAGTGATGTTGCCTCCCTCTCAGCCTGGGTAGGCCCCGACAGGCAGGGTCAGAAGCCCACCCTCCTAATTGTTCTAAATTGTGTCAAGGGAGGTATAAAATCACAGGCTACTTTTTTTTAAAGTTTAGACTAGCCAGAACTAACAAACAACTGGCTGAAATCCAGGGCCGAATGAAGGAATTGGTCATGTACTTGATTTCCACAGATCCTGGTTCACAAAAATCGAGAATCTGGTAAATTTGTTAGTTTAGTTTCAGTAAGTGTTTTACAACACTTGTAACACAATAAAGTCACATAAGTGCCGAAGATTAGAGGTGTTACAAGAGAGTAACAAACAGAAAAAAGAAGGAGGGGAGATAAAGACGATAGATGTTTGATAGGACAAAAGAAGCAAACCACACTAGAGCACCCGCCAACCGCCAACTTTTCAGTTTTGAAAAAAGTTTTCAGCCTTTATGTTGGCTGGGAGAGAGAGAACATTACAGCAACTGCAGCAGACCTGCACTTATCACTACATCAACATGGCATTGGACAGAAGGGCGAGAGCCCAGCTGTTGCTGGATCAATAATAACAAAAACAACAACAACAACATCTATCATATATATAATGGGTTGGTAAGTTTGGTACTATGAAATATAAAAGCTTTGCGCACACACACACACAATCTTAAAAAAAAAAACCCACCTCGAAGAACCCAACCAAACCCTATGAACAAAATCATATGACAGCTACTAAGAGCTCATATACACAAAAGAATTTTTTAAATTTATAAAGTTGACAGCAGTTGACAGGAATACCTTTTCATTTTGACAAGATTCTTCAAGCTGGTCCTTTGCTCTGTTGACATCTGAAAATAAATTAAAATCATGAATTTAAAATATTATAAAACTGGCTAGGTACCCATACAATGAACGGCCTCATAAGAATCGATCATCGAGTCATTGAGGAACCAGTGCACACTGGTTGGGAACGGAAGCCACACTTGTTTACGCAGGCGTCTGAGAAGACAGACTTTCCCAAGATTAGATCTAAACAAAACAAATGAAAAAATGAAAATTACACTACAGTGTCTTCAAACTCCTATAACTGTGCACCCTTTAAACGATTCTGAACCACCTTTATATTTTTTCAAATTCGAAAGTTAAGTAGTTCAGAAGTTCTAAGCAACCAAAGTGACAAACTTTCACAAATATAATATGGGAGGCAGCGTGGTGAAATCAGGCTCTCGTCAAAATAATCAAAGTGAAGAAACTTGCATTTTTCCGCAGGTTTGGGAATTTTTATCAAATTTTTTTTTTACGGCTAAACTCTTTTCATACCCATTAAAGAACTCGTTTATGTGTGGATTTTTCTGAAAAACATTGATTAAAGATACAAAAAATGTAAATTTTTAGTTAGCACTGACTCTTTAGCAAAGGAAATAACAAATCTTTGGCGGCCATTTTCTCAATAATTTTACCTCTAAAAATAGGTGAACCCCACCTCCTTCTTTCGCAAATATCTCGATTTGTATTCAAGATAAATGGATTTTTTTTTTCCATCCATATAAAGACAAGTACACAAGCTTTAAGATGATACCAATAACTCTACATGCCCAAAAATTAACAAGAGCCTGATTCCACCAATCTGCCTCACATATATAGAAGGTGTCAAGTAGTCCCTTTACTTTACTCCTTATCTCCAGCAAGCCGCACCCAGCAGATTGTGGTCAGAACTGCTGTGCCGGTGAGCCGCTGGCAGCAGCTCGATCAGATTCCTTTACGACGACTTGATAATATTATGAATTTTCAGCAATTGCAGAATACAGGTCTCTCTTACCGAAAGTTCTTTCATTGGATAAAGAATTATCGAAATAGGTTTATTTCTTTGGATTGAACGACTAATTTAGAGGCATGTGTAAGTCACTGTCAGGTTCCGTACCAAAAAGAGGGCTCCGGCACAGTAAGGTCAAATGAAAAGATACTTACGGTATTTTTTAAAACTATACTATTCTCTTTGTAAACCTACAGCAGGGGGCTCTCGTGGCCTAGAGGTTAAGGTGTTAGCCTCTCATTCAAAGGTCGCGGGTTCGAATCCGGGTAGCGACCGAAAAATTTTCTTCTCTAAAATTGTCTCCTTTCACCTCCTTTCCTGCTCTCTAGCAATGTTCTGTTGTCTGCTTTCATTTCCACTTTCTACCCCCACCCCCTCACCTCCTTTGCCCCTCCTCTGGGCTCCTGACTCTTTCTGCAGCCTTTCTACTTCTACTCCTTGGCTTCTTCTTACTGCTGTCTTTCTGCCACACCCCTGAACTTCTGGTAGGAAAGATCTACACCTAGCCTTCTCGGACAAGGGCGAAAAATCTCGGAGGGCCTGTGTGCAAGTTGCGCACGTTAAAGATCCCTTGGTGGTCTAAAATCGATAAGAGTAGGCTTCGGCCGCCACCCGGGCAAAATTCAAAATTTCCTACCAACTGAAAATATTAGGTGTGTCCCGCGCGCTCATATGACCTATGCAGTTGCGAGCGCCGTAAAACAATTTACAAAAACAAAAAAAACCTACAGCAGATTGGCCTTTAATCTCCCTCACTTGATTTAACAGTAGGCAAACTTACACCACACAATAGAAGTATCAGGGACACTCCTAACCATTTACACTACATGATACGTGAGGCAGCGGGGTGGAATCAGGCTCTCGTCAAAATAATGAAATCTAAGAAAACAGCAGTTTTCTCCCTGCTTAGCAATTTCTATCAAATTTTTGTTTTTTGGCTCAACACCTTTTATGTCCATTTACAAACACATATGAAGATTTCACCGAAAACGTTGATTAAAGGCACAAAAATATAAATTTACAGTTTATATATTCTTGCTGTCTAGAAAAGTATAGTTATATATTATCGGAAATTCTTAAAAATCACGAATGAAAACTAAGTAAATCACAGTAAAATCACGCCAAAATAAAAGCACAAAATATAAGTTTTAAATCAAATTTATTATCACGATTGCATCTGACTTTTAAATGCCTTTATGACTAGCTCTTTGATTGGATTAATATGAATGAATATATGACTGTTGATAATAGGGCACGATAGAAAACAGTAAATAATATGACCAATTAGGTTTAGTGAGCCATTAATCATTTGATATTCAAACAGAGTGGTTTACAGGCAATGTATTAATAAAATAAAAACACATTATGGTAAATGAAAACAGATTTTGAACTTGTATGAAAAAGAAAAAATTAGGAGTGAAAACAACTTATGAACCTGTTTGGAAAAAAAAAGAATGAATTACTAAAAACTGCTGTCAAGCAGTTAAACAGTGTGAGGTTCTGACTATGAAGTAAAGACAAGATTTGAAAATACATGTTTTAAAGTACAGGTATGTTATATAAAAAAGACTCAGGACTAGATCAGAATATTGAAAATATGTCGGCACACACAATATAGAAAAAGACTGGCTTACTGTTTGTATGGGACAAAACAAGTGATTTTGAAAAGTATCACCAGAGAAGATGATTTCAGAGAGAATAGTGCTGTTTTATTAGGACGTCTATTTGTGAGACACATCTCTTGCCACATCTCTCACATCTGCAGTCTTCTTTTTCA